GAGAAAAGGTGCAAAAGAAGGAAAAGTTGTGGCTGGAGGAAATGGTCAAGGAAGAAATCTCAATCAATTATCTTATCCTGCGGGAGTCATTCTTGATGATATGGGTCAAATCTATGTGGCAGATAGTGAGAATAATCGAGTAATGTGTTGGCGTGAAGGCAAAGAAGAAGGTGAAATTATTGTTGGTGGAAATCAATTGAATCATCCCAGTGGTTTATCTTTTGACAATGAAAGAAATCTTTATGTTGCTGATTCCGGAAATCATCGAATTGCAAAATTTGAAATAGTTTTATGAATGAAATTTTGATTTTGTAATGAAGAAAACTCTTTTTGTTTTTTTCTTAAAAGCTAAATTTAATTTGATAATTTTGATGAAGACAATCCGAATAAATAATTATTAAATTCATTAACTTTTGTTGCATTTTGTGAAAAATAAAATATTTTGTAGTTTGAATTAAATCAAATAGAAATTATTCAAAAAGAAGGTTTTGTGTTTAATAAAATGCTACTAGATTTTTTTTGCTGGATGAAAATATAATCAAAATGTTTTTAGCTTTTTGATTTGATAAAATTTGAAAATTGTTCGAGAATAAAGAGAAAGAAAATCTTTTATGAAAACTTGAAAATCAAAATCGAATTCAAACTGAAATTTGTTGAATAAAACAAAGATAGATAAAAAATAAAAAATATCTGCGAAGGAGAAATGAACCAAGAAACTCAAATAAAATAAAACACTAATAAAACTTAGAAAAAGATTTGTTATATTTTTCATGGAAATTGAAATAAATATTTGATAATTGTTTTATCATATTTTATTCTATTCACTCAATTATGTTAATAAAGATTTTTTTTATTTGTTCGGAGTAATGATAATGATATGTTGTTGTGATATGTAAAACGTGTAAAATGATCTTCTTCATTGAAAGAAAAATTATTATATAGACGAATGAAATTCTTTTTGTATCACAAGAATATAAATATTTTTAATTGGTTTCATAAAATAAAAACAAGATTTCTATTCAGAATACATATAATACTTCTTTTTTACAGAACGAGAACGAAAGTATAGATATTACATATATCTTTGAAATCCTCACCCTCAACTGATGGAATTATACATGTGGATCATAAAGATCTTAATGGCAATTGATATTTTATAATTATTCTATTGAGTAATATATAGTTTTTAAATTATCTTTCTTTTATAATAATGAAACATCAACAAAATACATTAATTCTATGTCTGACAAACAGAAGAAATGTGTTATTTGCAGATTTTGAAGAAGAAAATTAATTATTATTATAGGATCATTCATCTAATTCGACATCTCTAAGAAACGATGACAGTAAAAATAAGATTCCAAATTTCTTTTCTTTTTCTTACGCAAGTTTTTTATTGTAATGTAGAATCCTGATGAGTTTTTAAAATATGAAATAATTAACATGAAATGAACTTTGTATTTCTTTGATTATTTTAAAAGTACATGTCAACACTATTGTTATTTTTCGACTTATGATTGATTGTTTGCACAAGTATATATTGATATTCTCTACTTCTCACGAACGACTCAGATCAAGTATTATGTGCAAGAAATAGAACGAGACTTTTTCTACATTATTATTATTATTAATCAAGGCTTTTATCATACATTAAGAACAGTATCGACTTAATAAAATGGTCCGACGAGATATTGAAGACAGAACAGAAAAACATTTGGTGTCATCAATAATAACGTATCTCCGGTCTAATGTGTATTTCAACAAATCCATATTAGATAATTTATACTTGATCTTATTTTTCGATGACAGGAAATATTTTCATCGCACATCAAGATAATCTGTATATACATATATATAGAATGGTATGATGCCAATACTTGTATCATTCATTTAATATAATTTTTTCGAAGAAGTATTATTTCTACATGAATATATTTGGAATACAAACGAAGCTCCTGCTTTGTTGTGTGATACTGTTACTGGAAGTATCATTTTTTAGTCAGGTGAACGGACGAGCATTCGATGAATCTGGTAAGTTATAGTATTGATCATTACAGGATGAGTCAAAACTTTTTGTACATAATAGAAAAATTTCTCTTTCTCTCTTCTTACAAATCTTAAGATGCTTGATAGTAAACATATAGTTCCTTCTAATGTAGTAATATCATCTGAAACTATCGAGGAGATTTTTTCTAACAATAAAGTCTCTAGAATGGTTAACTTTTTCATCACTACAATAACAAATCATATAAAAATTATATATTATTATATTTTATTTCACTGATGGTATAAGCTTTTTTGTTCATATAAAATTGTAATTGTCTTACAATTAATCAGCAATATTCCTAATGATTGTCTTTTGACAGAACCATGACAAGATAAAATTTCATCTACAAGTTTTTATATTTTTGAAAGACACCAAGACATGAATACTACTCATACATTTAATATAGTTTATTTAACAATCGATACTTCGTTCTTCACATAAAAATCTTTTCCAAATGTAAAATCGGAGCGTATGTATCGTTAATTTTACATTTATCACTGAGGGTCAGTTTCAAATCTATATGGAAAAATAGAAGGTAGATGCACTGGTAGTAGCTTGAGGGTGTAGATCACAGATCAGTAGAATACATACAACTACATCCTCACATCCTATTGAAAATCTGCAGTTGATTATCGATTAGAAATTGAAATATCAGCAGAGTAGTTGACAGTTAGACCTGAATTATGTGAAAACCTTGTATTTTCGATATCACAGAGAATATATGAATGGATTACAGCCGGAGGATGTAGAGACCGTGGAATTCTATTGATAGATTTTTAAGTATGTCTCAGAACTTTTTTCCACTGGAGATATTTTCTTTTTTTATTGAGTCTGTACTTCATCCATAAGCTTCAGAATATAAGATATAAAGTTCTTGCTCACCATTTTCTATCTACGATTATGATTTGTTTAAGGGGAAACGAACAGTTCCGACACATATCAGTTCGTCAACGATACAGTCTACCGAGATGGTGTCAACGATGATAACAATTCGTCTGTAGTTATATTCACTGACCATGATGGGCAAAACTACATCGACAATCGAACATACACAAACTCCTCGGTTGATAGTACACGACAGGCTTCAGGTGTCTTCGTTTTCTCCGATGGTGGCAGATATGAAGGGAACTGGGCTGACGGAAAGCGAAATGGTACTGGGACACATAACTATTCTGATGGCCGCATATACACTGGTGGTTGGATCAATGACAAAAGATCGGGTTTAGGTGTACTAACTTCTTTTGGCGGTGAAACATACAGTGGCAATTGGGCTGATGACAAGAGAAATGGATCAGGCACATTACAATATGCTGACGGTAGAACATACACAGGTGGTTGGATGAATGACAGAAAAAATGGTCGTGGCATAATGATCTGGCCGAATCGTGATATTTATGATGGTGATTGGTTTGACAGCAAGATGCATGGATCAGGTGCAATGCTGTATGCGGATCGCAGAATATATACCGGTGGTTGGTTAAATGGCAGAAAATCGGGTCCGGGTATCATGAGTTGGCCTAAAGGCGAAAAATGTGATGCTGTTTGGATTGATGATAAAGCAGTTTGTGATGGTACGTAGTATTTTGTAAACAGTAGTATATTCCGATGTCTATAGTATGTATGATAAAGATTTGAGTTATTTACTTTGGCAATGAGATCCTTAATTCGACAGCAATAAACCCAATGCTTTTGAGTAACAGTACATACACCTCTATTATTACACAGATTGCAAATAAATAGGTAGATCCTGTTCTTTGCGCCTGTTTCATTCTCAGTCTGAATCGAAAACCCTGACCATTATTCAGGTCTCCCCTTTCATTTTCTCGGTTATCTTTAATCTCGTCGTATTTTAATTTGTAGTATTTCTTTATCATCATTGTTTGATCCACAAATGATTTTGGTTACTATATGTAGAAAAACTTAAGTGAATTGGCGCTGATTTTTATAAATTTTCTTTAATAATTGAAGCTCTTTAGAGAAAAAAATTGAAATAATATATTGAATGAGATTGGATAACAAAAAATATACTTCCTAATGATTTATATCTGACGCTTGTTTCGCGCATAACTCTATTAAATGTCATAGTATTCAGTGGAAAATTTACCATAGCTTCTCCATTGCACCACAAACATATACTTCATAATTCAGACAATTTGTATGTGCCTCACCAGAAAACGCTTTGTGAGAACACATCTCTACAGATTCACTTTTAATCGGTTAGTCTATTCGCAGCTCCATTCTCTTCAAAATCACTGATGCCGACATTGATCTCAGTTTCCATTTTATGACTAAAAGAAATGTTGATGGTTTAGTTTCTATTTTATCTTTTAGCCATTTGTTTTCCAAAATGTTCGAATGGTGGAAAATGCACTGGACCAAACTCTTGTACCGTAAGTCGGGGAATTCATTTGTGTTTCAGAGATAACTCATTCATTCCATGTTTGTTTAGTGTACAT